AAGAATTACGTTTCCCTCGTGAGGCTGCTCTAACGAGTGTTGCGTATCTCGGGGTAGATCAGTCTGGAGCCTCTCAACGCACTAGGCCGCATGCCAGAGATAAGCAGCGAACACGATTTTCCAAGATGCGGTTCAGGCTCAGGAAGCACAAGCGACTGGCGCGCACTGTAGCAGGGTGCACTAGGAAGTCCTTTCAGCGAGTTTTGAAGACTGGTGTTTCCACGGGTGCTGCCTTCGGCACCGAGGTCCTGGGCCTAAACAATCTTGAATGGTTTAACTTTCGAAGGCTCCAAAGCCGAGTGCATTCCCCCCAGCATGGAGGAACAAGTTTAAGCGCAAAAACGGTTCTTTTTGGAGATGAGAGTGCGAGGTCGGCGTTAGCTCCCGCGTTGCTGTGGTGTCGTATGTTGTGGCTGGCTCAGTCTAACGCCGACCGAGCGCTTGTCTCCACGCATGAGTTGTGTAGAATGTGGCGAGAAGCCAAAGCCAGCAGTCCCCGATCCTGGCATGCGAGCAAAGGGCCCCTCTCGAGAGCGAGGCTCGCAGCTTGTCGTGCAGGATGGGATGCACCCGATCCGCTCCTCTGGACAGACCACAACGGTCTACAAGTCAACATCGGCCAGTTGGCTCCAGGGCTGCTTTTAGAGTTGCTCGAAGCTGGGCTACAGCGCCAGCATGAACAGGCCTTGGCGCGCAAGCTTGGTTTTGAGCAGGCGCACTGTGCGACGTTTGATCTTGTGCGCAAGCAGATCTGTGCCTCGAGCAGCAAAAAGTTTACACGATATCAACAGTTTTTGGTTCGGTGCTGTGCCTGCGATGCTCTTTGGACTGAAGAGCGAGCGCGACTCTCGGGGTACACAACCTCGGGAAAATGCAGGTGCGGTAGAGTAGACACGCTGCACCATAGGTTATACACTTGTGATCTGCCTGAGGTCAGAGAGGCCAGAGAAGCAGCCGAGATTCCAGAGTCTTTTATTTCGGCAGGATGCGAGAGCACTGATCAGATTTATACCAGAGGGCTCTTCGTCTTTGATCCCAGTGAGGTTCCCCCCCCGTGTGCGTCGAGTGATTGTTGTGTTGTGGGGGGTGATGGCGAAGAGATCCCTCAGACTCCCGAGCAGGTGGGGCAGCTTCTGGGGGAGCATCAATTGATGGAGTTAGCCGCAGACGGGTCATGCACGAAGCAAGCGTTGAGATGTCTTCGGAGGGCGGCATGGGCCATTGCGCTGTTGCGGCCTGAGAGCGAAGATGTCCTGGCGGTCCTTCGAGGCCCCGTGGCTGGCTCCCCCCCCCAGACC